ACACACACACACACACACACACACACCCGCCAAAAAAAGACTCCAGCCCAAACCACTACAATTTTGGGATGCATAACATTTATTGGGAATAAAGACTTCTGAGTTCTGGTGCATTTCTGTGTGCGGGGGTCATTATGTTACCGCTATGCGGTATCTAGTTTAATGTAGTTTAGTTGCTTCTAGTATTATTTTAGGGCTCTCAAGGCAGGATGTAGTGATAGATTCATAATACAAAAGATTAGGCTGCACGTATTTTTATTGTTACCGTGATAAAACCTAAAAATTATTGTGATCATTTTTTTTGTCCATATCGCCCATCCCTACTAGACGTCACATTCAGCAGGTTTTTTCTTGGGTGAGCACCATGCACGCTGTGATATTGGGCCAAAAAAAATCATACATATCATACAAAAACATATGACTGGTTAAATGCCTTACCAAAACTGGGAATTTGTGTGAAAAGATGTTGAACAAATACTTAGCCCCTCTATAAATACTGTGCCCCCTTTGATGGCCCCTTACTAAAAATATATATCATAGACAGCACATTTCAGGTTGTAGGGCCTAAACTTTGGAACGCATTCCCTCAGTCTCAGCTGTGGATTCAATGAAGATTTTTAAAAAAGCAGCTAAAAACTCACCTTTTTAAGCAGAGTTTTAATGTTGTTTGATTAATGCTTTTTCATTTGTATCATTGTTTTTATGCTCTATTGSAGGGGTGGGCAATGGGTCCTCAAGGGCCGCAGCCCTACATGTTTTACATTTTTCCCTGCTCCAACACACCTGATTCAGTCACTGAACTAYCCCTTCCAAGTTCTGCAGTTTGGAGGACTGAAACTGACATCATTAGAAATAAAAGCAGATGGATGATTTTAAATCTCCTAAGTTTCCTAATGTATTTTCATCCTGCTATAACTCAAGACAGAGGGGAGAAGCAATATTAATACACAAAAATATTAATTTCACGGTATTAGATACGGTTTCAGATCCAGAGGGGAGATACATAATAATTAAATTATCTATAATAATCAAAAATTCTGTATTGTTAGCTTATATGGCCAAAATGTTGATGATGCCTCATTTTTTCATGACTTCTTTTCTGCACTGTCAGATCACCTTGATTGCTCACTAGTTCTCAGAGGTGACCTCAACTTTGGTCTAAATGATAACATAGACAGGCTGAATGCAGCAGGAACTCAGCGCAGTTGGCAGTCTATA